TGAAACATTGCCTTATCACAGTCAGAGGCGGCCATAGCTTTTGCAGCCTTTACCTCTTTGTTCTTCCGGTCAAGCGGCTTGCGAAGGCCGTTCACTCGGAGCAGGGCCTAAGTAAAAAGGGGAACAGGCGTCAGTTTCCAAACAAAAAAGAAAACAGGTGTCCTGGAATTCAAATACTCAAAAATATGCCAAGTATACCTCAGCAAGGACCCCTGCAATCCCGTCTAGGTCAAGGGTGCCGACACCCCTGACCGCTTCCCTTTCAGCTGGAGGTACGGCCTTGATCATAGACTTGGCCACTTCGACCAAGTCAAGATCTTGAGGGCCGGCTGCATCAAGCATAAACAAACGGATTAGACCTAGTAAAGGAGGGAGCAAGTCTAAAATTTACAAGGACAATTTCATACTTCTAGGTGGCCCAGCTGGAGTTTTAGAAGAAGTGGCCGGCTGTTTCTCAGTCGCCGCATGTTTCCTGGCAGAACCAGGAGAGCTCACAACAGTCGTCCTCCGGGCCTTGGGGTCCGGCTGTTGGGAAGAAGAAGCTCTTGGAGCGCCCGTCTAAAAAAGAAGAAAAGAGTCAGTTTATGCATAAACACAACTCCAAAAAGAGGGTGAAAGGTTCGAAGCCCACCAAGGGTGCCCCCTTGTTGGGGGAGTCGGTTGAAGACTGTTACATGATGGAGGCCCGCAACATGGTCGCCGCAGTCTTGGAGGCGGTAATTTTGCTCATGGCGTCCGCTGCAAAAACAAATAGCAAAGTTAATAGAAGTCATAACAAGAAATGCACGGAACAACAGAGTATTCGACAGGCCGGCTACCTCTTGAGCATCGACTGCTGAGGCCACAGGCGGCCAAAAAGTACTTGTCGTAGAGCCATTTGAAGCTCGGGACGCAGTGCAGGGGTACTTGCTCTCGTACCCCTGAAGTAGAGTTCACCTTCGACTCTACTTTGAAGAGTCCTTTATCTAGGATCTCTTTCTTAGCCTTGGGGGGAACAGGCGGCATGCTGCAGCCGCCTGCAAGAAGGGGCGGATTCCTGTTCCACCTGTTGAAGCGCTTGTTCAGCTCTGTGTCTGAACTCTCAATGATAAGGAAGGTGCTCCGCCAGTCCTTCCATTTGTTTGCTTTACCTCTCGTCATGAGGTAGCCCCTGTGGCTCGTCAATTGATACCAGCCGGTACCGCCTGCCTTAGGGGTCCGGCTGAGGTAGTTCATGTAGGCGAAAGCCTCGAAGTTCGGCTCCACCCCGTGCAGTTCGCACCCGGCCACATAGCCGAGTACGTTGACCCAGGAGTTCGGGGCTAACTGCCATAACCCCAACTCATACCCATCCAAGATCCGCTGAACAGCCGGATGTAGTGGGAAGCGCAGCCCAGCCTTGATGGCCGCCTCGTAGCAGCCAAAGCAGGCGCCATCATAACTGGTACCAGCCGGCCAGACGAATGTGTCTTCTGGATCCGGCACGAACAATAAAAATCCGGGGCCATTGTGTGGTTTGCGATAAAGCTCTCCACTTTCTCTTGCATGGCCGTGATCCGGCCCCGAGGTACCGTGCAGTAGTAGGGGGTATTTTGCTCTCGGTGAGAGGCGGATGGCTCCGCCCAATCGTCCCCCTTCTCAACTACGTGAGAAAGCCTCGCCTCTTGTAGGCGACTGTTTTTCTCTTCTGTGTCCAGAGAAGCATGGCCAGAAGAGCTAGACTCGGAATCGTCCTCTGACGAGTCCGAAGAGGTCGACTCGTCCCCTCTCCCGGAGGGGCCCGCCTCCTCTCCTTTAAAAGGAGCAGGAGAGAATGTAGAATTGTCAACTGTAAAATGGGAAGGGGTCACTTTGACTCCTCCCTCAGAACTGCCGGCTTTCAAGCCGCTTTGTTTCACTTCCACATCTGGCGCCTGGTCAGATGTTTCAATAATCAGCACCCTGTGGGAGGAGCTGTCTGAGTTTGAGATCCTAGCAGTCTTTTTTGTTCTGGCCATCATGCTCTGCATAGACACAGATACAGTCGGACTTTGTATAAAGGGCAAAGATGGGTCCAGAAAAGGGCAGGCGACACTCTTAGTCCTAGATTCAGCCGTCCCCGGTGACCGGCTGATCACTAACCTAGGTCGAGTCGTGTGCTTCCGTGGTGCCATTTCAAAAAAGAATAAAGTAAAGAGAAAATTAAGAGTAAGAGAACCGACGGTTACCTGAACGAGTGACGATTGATGAAGTTCTGAAAATCCTTTGCAGTTGGCTTGTCAGAGCAGGCGGTAGGCAGAAAGGGTCCAAAATGTCAGAGCAAGTTCAGGGGTCCGAATGTTCTCTCACAAAGTTTTCAAGTGTGAAAATGACCGAAGTCAACACTCCTTTATATAGGCGAAGTGAGAAGGCGAAGGGTCACTTCCAGAATTCAAAATTTTGGCGGGAGAATCTCTCGGACTCTCGCCGAGTGACACCTGTAGCAGGCCGTCGCCTGTTACAGGGCGACACCTGGCACAGGTAACACATGACCAGTCACGTGCCACCTGTGAGGGGCAAATGATTAGGGGATTTTGCTCCCACCAATCGGAATGCGCCACGTGGGCCAATCAGGTCCTGCCAAGTGTCCCCCAGTTGGACCTCTCAGGGCTTGCCACGTGGCACACGCTTATTCGTCCACCCTGGACTTATTATGTCATGACATGTGGCATACTCCATGCCTAATGGAGAAGCCGGTCACCTAGGCCCAACTTCCGAGGGAAGCCCAATCAGCCCAAGGTTAACCTAAACCTAGATTGGCACGTTTCCCGAGGTTATAAATACCTCCCTTAATCCTCATTAAGGGAGATTACGCAAATTACACACATTAAACACTCTCACCTAGAGAGACCCAATCACTTTAATTTCCGCATTAATTACTCCTTAATCAAGTACTAACTTGACCGTCGGAGGCGGATCTCCAATCATCCGGAGCATCCGTTTGTTTTGCAGGTACAGGCGTCTGGTTCCAGTCTCGGAATTTTAACTCTCCCGGAGGACATCAGAAAACCCCGAAACAATGTTCATAATACCAAACACATAAATTAATAAATTGAGTCGGCAGCACATTTGTATTGTCGTTTTTCGTCACTTGTTTATCATTAATAATGTGAGGGGAGTAGCCCCTTAGCCTTATATAGTGGTGGTAACTCTTGAATTCTTTCAATGTGGGATTTCATTACCACTACACTCCCCTTTTAGTGTTTAGTGTGGGACAAGAGAATGCTCACATGTAGGTTGTTCATGGGCTCAACACTCCCCCTCACATGTGAGCTGTCCATAGTGTTTGGCCTAGTATACCTTAGCCATTAAGGCCCCGATCGTGGTTCTAGCTCTAATACCATGTTAAATACGGGTATGGGCCGCATCCGTCACGGGAGAGTGTAAGTCTACTGCTTTTACAAGACCAAGGAGGTTCCACCTCAAAACCATATGGTAATGAGGGGAGTAGCCCCTTAGCCTTATATAGTGGTGGTAACTCTTGAATTTTTTCAATGTGGGATTTCATTACCACTACACTCCCCTTTTAGTGTTTAGTGTTTTAGTTGTGGGACAAGAGAATGCTCACATGTGGATTGTTAATGGGATCAACACATATATTTATTACTCTATAGGCTATACTCTATAATATCATATGTACGTAGCTAAGATATAAACTTATTGACTCTTCATTCTTAGTTCTCATTGTAAAAAAAAAATAAAATAAAATAAAATAAAATAAAAGAAACCCTTATTGACTCCTTAAAACTTCATCCGTAAGGCGATTCTCTTAGCATAATCATCATATTAACGTCTACTCTTATTCACAACTAGTTGGGATTAATCAATACAATCTCATAAATCTTACGTAAATCATTATCTATATGGTATGTACAAGGTTTTCAGAATTCTGTACCTTAATTAAAATCATCTAAAATACAGTAATGAGTTAACAATTATGGTATAATTTCAATTAGTTTAGTGTTAAATTTACATTTAACTTGTTTTACTGTCAGCTAATTATTAAGTCTTTTTTTTAAATGCTCAAACACATATGACTTGTGAGGCCTTGTTTGGTTGCACCAATTTTATGTAGGCACTCAAAATTTCCACTCGCATGATATTAATAGTGTTGGTTAACAAAAAAAATTGCAAAATGGAGGAAATAGAAATTCCTAGGAATTCCAATTCAATTTCCCACATAACGTGAGAATTCATTTACCTACCTCCCTTAAGGTTATTCAAATTTTATAGGAATTCAGCAAAACAAACTAAATTAATTTCCTAGAAATTTGAGAAGGGAAATAATTTTCCATGAATTATAAATTACTATTTCCCATTATAACCAAAGGAGTATTGTGCAATTATTGAGTTGTTTCATAGTGGTAGTAGTCTTTTGATGTGACTTGTGACAAGACTTCCATAATGCCAAATGAAAACTTGGTCCCTACTCCGTATCTCTTTTTAAGTTGAGGATCTTGAATTATGCATTATTTTATTCCCAAAAAAAATAAAATTATGCATTATTTGAAAAATAAATTATAAGTCTAAATAAGTACGAGTAATGCTTCCTCTATCTTATAAATTTATAATCATTGAGATCTTATTAGATTTGTCTTAGTATATTTTGTTAGTATTTTTTTTTGTTTTGAAATAAGTATATTTTGCTAGTATTTAATTTTTAATTTAATTTATGTTTTTTATATGTATAAAAAAGCAGATATAGACATTTTAAAATGCATTTTAAAAACCTTAAAAAGTCAAATGAGATAAAATGTACTTTCTCCGTTTTTTTTACTTACAACACACCCTTTAGCGCGGTAATTAAGAAATGTGGATTTTAAATGATATAATAAACTTTAAAATAGGATGAGTGGTTGTTAGGAGTGTAATTTAGTGGGCCATGTGCTTTAAATAAAGAAAATAATATAGTTTTTTCCTAAATTAACTTTCCTTTTATAGTGTGTTGTAAGTATTGTGACATTTCCTTTTAAAAAAGTGTTACAAGTAAAAAAAATGGAGGAAGTACAATATATTTTTCCAAGAGTAAAAATAAGTAAAAGACGTATGTGAAATGTTAACATCATGACATTAAAGAAAAAGAAAAAGAAATTAGTCTCTTTCAGTCTGTTATCATCCCTTTTGGGTCAAAATATGAAATTTTTTTGGAACTCCTTGGAAAAAATTGAAATATGTAAATGCTTTTGGTATATGAAGTATTTCCTAAAATCTTATACGAGTACTCCATAGTTTGTCAAAATATACCTTTTGACTAATACGAGTAAGAAAATGGGAATATCTCTTTGATGCGAGTAATATTTAATTTTTTAATTTTCTTTTTGGTAATGTTATATCATTGAAATATCAAATATAATTAGAGTAAGGGTTTGTTTACTTCAACTTAATTTCAATTTATTTCACTTCAGTTCAGCTATAATTAGTTATGTTCAGTTCCTAATTTTCTTCTCTCATAAAATATTCAGCTCCAATCAATTCACATTAGCTCAAATCAGTTAAGTTTAGATAAATTCAGTAAATCAGAGCAAACCCTAATTACGGACTTACGAGCATTTAATTAAACTCTTTAAATCTTTAATCATGATTAGATTTTTAACATTTAAAAAAAAATAAAAATAAACCACCCCCTCAACCACCAACCAGCCAGCCGCCGACACGCCCAGCCCCTCCATTTCGTACTCTCCAGTGACTCCTTCAACATATCTATGGTTGATTTCGACGATTTCTCAGGTTCAATCGATGTCTCGATTTCTTCATTCGTATTCTCAATCGATTTAAGCTTCACTTTTAATTGCTTACGCTGCTTTCCATAACCCTTGAAACCATGGCTTTTCAAGTTTTCATCGTCGTTTATCGGCAGGTAGAACTTCGCCGAAATTAGATTTCAAGCTTGTCAAAGAAGCTAGCATGGTCTTGAACTCTTGACTAAGTTTCCGGTGACCTCTGCGACGGTGGAGTCGTCGGCGGCGATAATAAGGTTGAATGCAAATCGGTGTAAGAGGGAGTTGTTTGTTTTTAGGGGAGTGGGGAGGGGATGGGTTTTATTTTAAGAAAATCATTTATAATTTAATCGTTAAAAAAAAAAAAAAACTATAGTTAAAATTTAATAATTTTTTTTATTATTTATATTCATATCATTCAACAAAAATTAAATATTAATTAAGATTTATATCAGGGAAATAATGCGGTTTGGGATAATCGTCCGAGCCTAAAACTACTTACTATACTTAAAAATTATTATTTTAAAAATATAGTGTAAGAGTGCATACTATTCTTGCTTAACTACAATGATACTTTTCATGTTTATATCTGAAATATTTTGAATGGTTTAGCGTTTTAATATTGTTGGATAAAGATCAATGCCTATATTTTGTGATTTTTTCTACCCTTTACCTCTATTAATATATGGTCATCTAATTTTGAATTTTCTAGTGGAAGTTGTAACCAAGAATATAAAATAAAAATATGGCCCCTTATTATTTTATTTTTCCTCTATCAATCTGTCCTGTTATTTGCAGATATAATTTTTTTTGGTTACGTGACAAATAACCAAGTATCATTAGTTCATCACCCTTGGTGGCTCTCTATGCAACGCCTTCCTTCAATTCCTTAATGTTCCTACTAATAAAACTTAATTTCAAATACAATGGCAGTGATGAAAGTGAGGATGTTATACAACGTATAGCTCTACAAGTCTGGAGTGAGTTAAAGAACACTCCAGAGTATGTGGTGAAACTTGCAGTTGGGTTGGATTCTCGTGTTGACAAAGTGATTGAAACGTTAGATCTTCGCTCACAGGGTGTTCGGTTTTTGGGAATCCATGGAACGCCAGGAATAGGCAAAACAACATTGGCTAAGGCGGTCTTCAATAAACTCGTCGTAAAGTTTAAGCATCGCTGCTATGTTTCCAATGTCAGAGAACAACTATGTACTAAAGAGGGTCTTATGGGTGTTCAAGACAAACTCATAAGTGATCTTTCCTTAAAAACAATGTTACCTGTGAAAGAAGACAATGTTGTGAATAGACAAAAGATCAAGATGATAATTAATGTGAACCGAGTCCTGGTTGTGTTGGATGATGTCTCTGAAGCAGGCCAGCTTGAAAAACTTGGCATTGTAAGAGAATGGTTTGTAGACGAGAGCAGGATAATTGTTACAAGTAGAAATGTGAACGTGTTACATGATTTTGCTCTTAATGATCGTGAACTATATGAAGCAGAGGAGCTTGATCCAGGGGAATCACTTGAACTTTTTAGCATACATGCTTTAGGAAGAACGGATCCTACACAAGAGTTTCGAGATGTTTCTGAGAGGATTGTTTCTCTAACGGGTGGACTTCCTTTGGCGTTAGAGGTGTTTGGTTCTTCCTTGGTTAAGAAGACAAAAAAGGAGTGGGAGGATGCTTTAATGAAATTAAAAACATTTCGACCATCTAATCTTCAGCAGGTGTTGAAATTCAGCTATGATGGGCTAGATGACCAAGAGAAAACCGTATTTCTTGACCTTTCGTGTTTATTAATTCAAATGAACCTAAAACGAGAGGATGTTGTAGATATATTAGAAGGTTGTGGCTTAAGGGCTGAGTTAGCAATAGGTAACCTTGTTACAAAATCACTCTTGAAGATAACAAAAGATAAGGAGCTGTGGATGCATGATCAAATTCGGGACATGGGAAGGCAAATAGTCATAGAGGAAAGCTTTCAAGATACTGGAGAGCGTAGCAGACTGTGGGACTATGAGGAGATAATGCATGTCTTGCGCCATGAAAATGTATACTCTCTCTCTTTTATATTGACATTGAGTAATAGTTTAACAAAATACAAAAAAAATTTGCATTAGATTAGTTGTTTAGTTTTTTTCAATGAACCAATGATGCATCACAGGTACTGAGTACTGAGTTTCAAAATATTTCAATGATACTGAGTATTCACTCTTGATCATGGTGTTTCAGAGACATATATACTTAAATTTGTGCAATGTGATGTATCACAGGTAACAGATGCAGTACGGGGAATTGTTCTGGACATAGAAAAGCCTCCTCTATGCTCCCTTGTTATAAAGAGTTATTGGAACAACTTCAAAAGGAATCCTGGTATCAGTACTTTTGTCAGGTACGTTAAAGAAAAATTCAAGGGACTACTTTCACAGCATCTAACAGATGAGGATCAAAAACCTGCTCTTCAAACAATTTGGTTTAAGAAGATGGTACATCTGAAACTGCTTCAAATAAATTACGCAAACTTGCAAGGAAACTTCAAATATATGTCCTCTGAGCTGAGGTGGCTGCAATGGAAAGGATGCTCTCAAAAGACATTTCCTGCTACTATGCCAGAGCAAATTCGTGTGCTTGATCTTTCGGAAAGCAGAATAGAACATTTGTGGTACTCAGATCAGGCATGTTGGGGTTTCAATTTCAACAAGGTAACTGTCACACTGAAGTGTTTAATGCTGACATAACTCGTAGTAGACCACCTCACCTTAAGTTTTGAGCTTTCTCTCTTACCATAAAGTCTTTATTCTGTTGTAAATTTGGAATATTCTTGGCTTGGCTTTCAGGTGGTTGGGAACTTGGTGGTGATAAATCTCTATGGTTGCCCTTGCCTTAAAGCTCTTCCTGACATGTCTGGACATCGACATTTGAAAAAGCTTACACTTGAGCTTTGTATGGGACTGACTAAAATTCATGAGTCAATCGGAAATATGAGCTCTCTTGTTCACTTGAATCTAAGAAGATGCTCAAATTTGGTTGATTTTCCAAGAGATGTGACGGGGATGAAAGGTCTCAGGGAGCTACTTCTATCTGAATGCAGAAAGTTCACAGGACTTCCCCATGATGTTCGTAGCATGACATCGTTGATCCAACTACATCTCGACAACACAGCAATTTCTGAGCTGCCTGAATATTTATTTCACCTATCACAGCTTGAAGATCTTAGTCTACAAAGTTGCTACCAGATAACAAGGCTGCCTGAAGAGATAGGGTCTCTTATCTCTCTGAAAAAGTTCTCACTTTCTCATACTAATCTTAAAGAGTTACCTGTATCTATTGGATCCATGACAAGCCTCGAGGAATTAAGTTTGTATTCCTGTTCCTCGCTTACAGCCCTTCCTGAATCAGTGGGAAGGCTCAAATCTTTGACTGAGTTGCACCTTAATTCTACTTCAATCCAGGAACTTCCTTCGTCCATTTGTGCACTATCCTGTCTGAAAGTCTTATCACTTGAAATGTGTCATTCTCTTGTCAAGCTGCCTGATTCAGTAGCAGGATTAGCTTCTATTGTCGATCTCAAGTTAACTAATACACCGATTAAATCACTGCCAGATGATATTGGTTGCTTAAAATTTATTGAGAAGCTTGAGATGACTGGTTGTAGTTTCCTTGAAAAACTACCAGAATCAATCGGGAAAATGTCAAATCTTACCAGGCTCACTGTTGCAGGCGCCGATTTAATACAGCTGCCAGAGTCCATAGGGGAGTTGGAGAATCTTACATGGTTAAACTTGAATAATTGTCAAAAGCTATGCAGCCTACCCGAGTCTATCGGATCACTGGGGTCCTTGTGTGTATTTATGATGGAGGAAACTGCCGTGACATGTTTGCCGGAAAGCTTTGGGTTGCTTGGTGACTTAAGGGTATTGAAAATGAAGAAGTCTTCCAATAAACTCGCAAGGCTTAGTGAACTTCCTGCTTCTTTCTGCAAGCTTTCCAATTTGGAAGAATTTGATGCTCGGACTTGTGGAATTTGTGGTCAGATAAGTAATGATTTTAACAAGTTATCCAAGCTGGAGATTTTGAATCTTGGATACAATGATTTTCACAGCCTTCCTGTGACACTGGAGGGCCTTAGTGCTTTACAGAAGCTATTGCTGCGCAACTGTACTGAGCTGAGGTCCCTTCCTCAACTTCCATCAACTTTGGTAGAACTAAATGCGGCTGATTGTTATGAACTAATGTGTATAAGTGACCTCTCAAATCTTGAAAGATTACAAGAAATACAGCTTGCAAACTGCAACAAAGTTATCGACGTTCCAGGTCTTGAATGCTTGAAGTCTTTGAGAAGGTTGTTTATGGGGGGCTGTAACAAAGCAATTAAATCAGCTGTCCGGAGAAGACTACGCAAGGTATCAGTACTCTTTCTTTATCAAATTGCATTTTTCAATCAGATTGATTAGAGTTTTCAGTCATTTGTCACTAACAGTCATCCAAGACAGCAACTGTGGATTCTGAATCGTTTAAGAAGTAAAGCGAGTTGCTGGTAATATTGTATGTATTGTGTTTTTCTGCAGGCAACTTTGAGGAATTTGAACAATCTGAGTGTTCCGGGAAGTGAAATTCCTGACTGGTTTTCTCAGGCTGCTGTCACTTTTGCAGCTCATCCAAACCTTGCAATAAAAAATGTGATTGTCGCTCTTGTAGTGTCTGTGGATCCTAGAGTATTAGATGAGATACGAGTTCATCAGTATCCTGGCATCACTGATATTCAGGCTTGTATATTTAGACTCGGAGAACCCATTTTCCGTACTACACTATACTTAATGGGAGTTCCACGCACGCAGGAAGATCAGCTCTATATGTGCAGATTCAAGGCATATAATCCTTTGGTTTCTTTGTTAAAAGGAGGAGATATAATAAAGGGAGAGTGGAGGAGAGGAACTGTCACCGGAATTGAGATCAAAAGGTGGGGAATTCATCTAGTTTTTGAAAATGATGATGATTTTGATGGTGATGAGGACTCGTTGTCAGTAGTCAAAAGCCATCAATCTGTATCCCAGAGGCTACTGAACTTTTTTCGCTCCATGGATCAATGATGTCAAAAGTTCTGCAGCAGCTGTAACTTTTAAATCATGGATGGTGGTAGAATGAGTATGTTTTCAGTATGATGTGAGCTTGAAGGTCTATATACATGATTATTTCTAGATTATATAAGATAATATTGCGATGAAACATGACCGAGTAGTTCTTTAACGGTTGTTTTCATGGAAGGTTGTGCATGATTTAGTAGTGTTACGCTTCTCATTCTATGATCTTCCAGCAGTACTGCTTATTTGACGCGACCTTCACTGAAAGTGTTACTAAGGAGTATGGAGTGCTAATGATATTACAATCTGGTTTATGATCAGGCTAGTATTTTGGTATCTCTCACAATATTCACAATAAATGTTTTGGATAATTATACTTACAAACTGCTCAATAGACCATATATCAATTGAAAAATTACCATGACTTGTTCACAACTTATTCATAAATATAGTAACTACTAAACACTTGATAAAGCGAGTTTTAAACAGTCCTAAATTGCGAACTAAGGAAGCAAGAACTTATGGGCTAGAAATTATGGCAATCAGTTTTCACCATCCCAAAGCTCCTCAATTGTATATATAGGACCTAAAGGTGAAGTGTAATCCAGTCCATCACATGTCCTGCCTTGTGGGATACAACAAATCCTCTCATGGTCATCTGAGCTCAGTTCAAAGTCGAAAATTTCAAGGTTCTGTTTCATCCTGTCTTTATTGAAGCTCTTCACGACGACTGTAATGCCAAGCTCATATGCCCACCTCAGTGCAACCTACAAACAATAACTTGTTAGGGGACTTCTGAGTATAAAGGACTAAATAAGATGTTATAAGAGAGCCTAACTACTCCAATGTATGATGATTTGAAGAAAAGTACCTGAGCAACACTCTTTCCTTTAGCCTTTGCTATGTCTTTGAGTATATCGGATCCCATTACTCCGTTGTGTCCTCCAAGAGGGCCACCCAACGGCGAGTATGCTGTTACTATTATTCTTTTCTCCTTGCAGAAGTCTATTAGTTCCTTTTGTTGCCATGTAGGGTTAACTTCCACCTTTACAAATATTTTGACAGTATAACATTGTTATATTGATCTTATATATGAATCTTTAAACAATTTTAGCTATAAATCTGAGTATTTGTGATAATGTTATATGTATTCAAAGTAAACCCGAATCACATTACATTTATGGAGCAAGTAGGCTAGTGGCCTTGCAACACAAATGCCAGCAATTATTTTGAGACGGAGGGAGTAATACATTATACAAATTATAACGTAGAGGACTCACCTGGTTGACTGCTGGTGGTATGGTTGCAGTTGCCATAAGCTGTTTAAGCTTCTTTTTTGTAAAATTGCTAACACCAATGGCTTTGGCGACGCCAAGTCGTTGGCACTCTTCCATGGCAGTCCACACACCCTTGATGTCAAAAGGAAGGAACTCGTCCTTCTTAATGGGATAGGCGGGTGGTCCTGGCTTGGCGCTTACAGGCCAATGTATAAGGTATAGATCCAAGTAGTCCAACTTCATGTTCCTGTATAAAGGATAGAAACAATAATGTAAGCTACCTTTATTTCTTGGAAAATTAAGGCTATTCCAAGATAATTTAATGCTAGGTTTTACTGATTTTGTATTCCAACAATAGTATGAAGTAGTTACTGGTTACATATACTATTTCAAGATCAATTAAGGCTAGGTTATACTAATGTTGTATTCCCTCCCATCCAAAATGAACTACTCGTTTATAATATGCATCTTAATTTTGGTTTTTAGTATTCTTCGAGAAACACAAGGAAACTCAAATCAATCTTCGTGAAAAACAAAAATTATTTGTTCATTACATGACATTTCATTAAATTATTTATTTAGTATTGCGGGGCCCACTTTTAAGGAAAAAGTTTTTAATTTATTTATGAGAATGTCATGTGATAAACAAAATTTGTTGATCTCAAAGATCAACTTGTATTTTCTCTAGAAAAACTAGTCTGATCCGTCATAGGTGGATCTAGGGGGGCCTACCCAGGCCTTGGCACCCCCTATGCCTAGATTTTGATGCATATAAATAAAAAAATTTGTGTAAAATGTATAAGTTTTATAATTGATTAGTAACTTAATGTATAGATATGGAAGGTCAAGGGTTCAATTCCCTTTTGTTTGCACATTTCTTTTTTTTTTTTCCCTTGTGGTGGCTTTATTAATTGAAATACTTTATAACTTCGGCCCGATCTATAAGTAAATTCTAGATCCGCCCTTGTGATCCGTCTCTTTTAACATAAATGTTAAATCAATCTAAGGGAAGATAATCACATAATTTCAACCTAATTCCTTAGAAAGTTAGAATGAACTTTAATCATATGTGTTCTAAAGGGACGACAAATTTAATCTATCATACAATAGTTTATTGGAAAAAACAATTGTTTGAAGTATAAGGAACAACTTACTGTAGGCTAGTTTTGAGAGCAGGAACAACAAGGTTAGGATGTCCAACACTAACCCACAACTTAGAAGTGATAAAGAGGTCCTCTCTTGACTTAACCATCCCACGTTTAAGCAACTCAGAAATGCCCTTCCCTAGAGCCTTTTCAGTGAAATAGATGGTAGCCGTGTCAAAGTGCCGGTAGCCTACTTCCACCGCGTCTAACACGACATCTTTTGTTACTTCATCGGGTACCGGAGGGTTCTAGGCCATGCCTAGACCCAAAACAGGCATTGACACTCCACCATGACTTAGCTGAATTGTTGGAATTTTTGGTGAAGTTGCCTCACTTGCCATGTTTTTTTCTTCCCTACTCTAAATTTCCCCTGATTTTTTGTTTAGTGTTGTAGTAAGAGTAGCTAGTAAGCTGAGTGTAGTGTCTTTATTATTGATGATCACAAGTTTGTGGGGTAATTGCCTAATTGGGTACAAGTACCTTTTTCTTTGGGTTGTATTTTGTGGGAGCCAAGTGCCACGTTAATGTTGGATTTGTTAGATTTGATATATATGTAATTGTTACTAACATGTGAGAGTAACAGAGGACACATGTAGCATTTTAATTTGAACTCGTGCATGTACAACTTTCAATTGATCAATTGATGCTGCCAATTTCATGATCATATGTTTGATCTTTTAGTCATGGTTGGTTGAGTCTAGACCACAATCATATTCAAAGGTAGAGTAGAACAACATCTTGTATATACCTGTTTATAATCTCATGTGAGTGGTCTTACGTTATAAGGGAAAAATAAAAAATACTTTATAAGTCTGAAGAGTTACTTTGATTATCACCAATAAATTAAGTATGAAGTCTCTTCTAGACATACAAATGACTAAATTTGTTGCGTTGTCAAGCTTATTTCATATTGCGTGACATCTTGATCAGTATCATGTATAGAGTTTCATTATTAATTAGGAAAAATATTCAAACTACAACAATAATACCAATCTTGTCCTTTGGAGCCTTGTACAATTATGAAATAAATTAACAACTTATTTACATAAGTTACACATATGGATATAGGACTATAGTCAGGAGTAAGATTAGAGCTGTTAATAGCTGACCCGATCCGAAATTAACTGACCCATCTGAACCCGAAAAATAGTGACCCAAACCCTACCTGACTCGACCTAAAACAAACCCTAGACCCCAATTGACCTGAGTATGTGAGACCCGAACCCAAACATGAACCGACCTGGAGATGACCCGACCCAAATGTAACCTGTAGATTATTAACCTGAACCGAAGCCGACTTGAACCGAAATTGACCCAAACTCGATTTAGCCCATCAAAACCCAAATTTAACCCAACTTGTTACTAACTCGACTTGAATTCAACCTGACCCGTTCTTTACTCGACCCGAATGTAACCCGACCTATTACAAATCCGACCCGAAATCAACCCGACTTGTTATTGACCCGACCCAAATTCAACCCGACTTGTTATTGAACCGACTCGAATTTTACTCAACCTATTACTAACCCGACCCAAAAATTCAACCCGATCTGTTACTCACCCGACCCAAAATCAACATGACTTGTTATTGACCCGACCTAAATTCAACCCAAATTGTTCCTGACCTGATTTCAAATCACCTTAAATTCAATTTAGACCACCTTGTTAGTTAAACTTGAATATGACCCAACTTGAAAATGACCTGACCTGATTGTAACTCGGAAATCATTGACTAGAACATAACCCGAATTGAACCCAAGAATGACTCGACTTGGAAATGACCCAACCTAATTATAACCCGTAAATTATTGACTTGAACCGAACCCGACATAAACTCGAGAATGACCCGACTTGATTATAACCCGCAAATTATTGACTTGAACCGAACCCACTCAAACCCGGCCTGATTCTAACCCGCAAATTATAGACTTGAACCAAACCCAACTCAAACCCGAGAATTACCCTAACCTATTTTAACCCGTGAAAACCCGAATTAAACCCGACCTATTGTTCACCCGACCCAAATGGAACCTGACCTGTTATGAACCCGACCTAAACCTGACCCAAACCCGATAAAATGTATGACCCGACTCAAGCATGACCCAACCCGAACCTGACCCACATAGGTTACGACATTAACCCGAATTGACCCGACCCGAGTTCACCCGACCCAAACCCGACCCGTTTACCCGAATTGACAGCTCTAAGCAAGATCATGACAATTATTAAAATTACAACATAACAATAATTAATTGTAGGACATTGTGTCAAAAAAAAAAAGAAAAAAGAAAAATAAAATGTAGGACATCAAGTGCAATTTGTCACATCTCACATGCTTATTTATTAGTAAAGTGGTCTCAAATTGAAGATCTCCATCCCAAAGCTCCTGGAATGTGCGGTAAGGCCCAATGGGTGAAAGGTAATCCAATCCAGTCAATGTTCTACCTTGTGGGATTTTACCAATCTTCTCGCTGTCTTCTGAGCTCAATTCCCAGTCAAATATTTGAAGGTTTTCTATCATCCATTCCTTGATAAAACTACTCACCACTATTGCTATGCCTTGCTCATATAGTCATATCCCCATCTCAATGCAATCTTAATAATACCAATGAACCATGCTTGCATGTAGAGCACAAATTCATTAGTAGCTGGTTTCTTGGCTAGTTTTTTTTTAGCTAGTTTGTTATTGTTAATTGTTCACTACTGACTTGTTCAACGATGAATGGATATGTTCGTGTAAATCATATAACATTTGTTATACATGTAGGCGTATATGATGCAGTAAAAAAGAGCATTATTTTAATCATGTGATTATATTTTTTTGTTGATTTGAAATTTAGAAATTAGCAAAAAGCATTAAATGAAAAAATAAATAAAAATGAAATACCACAACTCCATACACATAACTCCAATAGCGCAAATACACCTAAGTACATGTAAGTATGCAGAAAATGTGGGTAAGAAGCTCATGCTAGCATTGAAGATGGGTAAGAAGCTCAAGTTGGATGAGATAATCCTTGAATCTGATTGCAAATTCATCATTGACAAACTGTCTAAGGGTACTGTGCTCTCGGCTGACATTGATAAAGTCCTTGGTGATATTATCCTTTTGTGCTCCACGTTTAAATCTGTTTCGTGGTCTCATGTCAAGCGTGACGGCAATTGTGTTGCGCATTATCTAGCTAAGCTTATTCCTTTTGGTATCGAGCAATCTTGGGTTAATCATTGTCCTCAAGAAGTTGCTCCGTATGTACTTATGGACCGTATTGTTGCTAATTAATATATGAGCTTAGCTTGTTTTCAAAAAAAAAAAAAAAAAAGCAGAAAATGTGGGATTGATTTCAATTTTTTTTTTCTTAATGTAACAAGCAATAATCAACATGGTTTGATAGATTCTCAATTCACTATGTGATCAAACTTGTCAGTGATCCCGAACATGTAGTCATAATTGAATGAAATTTTTTATTGAAGGTGATACCAAAAAGAATATAATGATAAAAGAAGTAACAAAAATTAGGGATCATAATATGAATGAATCACCTATCTGTGCAACAGATTTTCCTTTGGCTTTTGCAATTTCTTGGAGAACATACATTATTCTCCATCACCAACTTGTGCTCCTCAAGAGGACTGCCCAATGGTGAGTGTGCTATCACCAAGATTCCATTGGTCTTGCAAAATTTTATGAGTTCCTTTTGTTGCCATTTAGGATTAACTTCGACCTTTTTCAAAATTTGCCACACATTTTTGTTATGTCTTTTCCTCTCCGATAGTCTTCAATTTCCATTTATTTCCGGAGGTTCAAATAAAACAAACATGGTCAAGAGTACTAGTAACGACATACCATATTAAGAATGATTATATGGAGTACCATTGTCTATATTCTAAACATATGCAATGATTTTCCGAGTATGAACTTTGACCATAAACTTAAATATTACTGCGTCGTGAATTGATACAATAACATAATAATATACAAGTATAAGTATATTAAGATTTAGCACAGTGGCATAAATTTCAATACAAATATTTTAACTATATAATTTTGTACTTATTTATAATTTTTAAGAGAGTAGAAGTGAAGTGGAAAATAATGTGTTTTTAATTTATATTTAAAGAAAAGAAGGTATATATACAAATTGTTAAAATCCATACTTTATTTTGAACTTTTCTATAGCCATTTTATTTTCCATTCATTCTAATATTATACATTACATTTGATTTTATGATCAAACTTTATTGTTTAATTCTAATTTGTATATTTGTGCATTGTCAAAACGATTATGATTTCTATGTATGTAATGCACTTATATACTTGTGCATTGTACGTCAATATGTGTTTAGTTAATAGCAAGAATGTTGATTATAACTCACCTGATTGACTGCAAGTGGGATGGTGGCTATGGCTAGAAGTTGCTTGAGCTTTTTACGAGTGAAATTGCACTCGTTGATTGCCTTAGTGAGGCCTAGCCTTTGGTACTCTTCCTGTCTTCCATGGCCGTCCAAACACCTTAGCTTAAGGTCTAATGGTAGGAAATCTTCCTCCTGTAGGGGATACTTAGCTTTGGTTAGAGGTGTGTATTATTCGGATAAAAACCAATCCAATCCAATCCAAACTGAATTATCAATTGGATGGGATCCAACTTTTAAATCGGATTGGATCAGATTGAATTTTTTTTAAAATTCAGATTTTCGGATTGGATCATATTGACCTTGTTCGGATCCAAAAAACCGAAATAACCGAATTATAAAAGCGTTATTTTACAATCAGATATTGTTATATTAATCATGTTAAACTATGTTTATGATTATAATAATATTAATTATGTAAACCTATGTTTTCAATACTTGTATAAATCATGTACTACTATACTTTCAAGAATTGAATTTTATTATTGCAATTTTATTTTTATAATCGCATTAGACCCAACAAAAAAAATCAGCAACGTATTTTAATTCGGATTTTCAGATTGGATCGGATTGGACTTGGTATGTAATTTGAATCGGATTGGATTTGAAAATTAAAAACCGAAATTTATTTCGGATCGGATTGGATTTGGGCTAAATCCAAACCAAAAACCGAATGGACACCCCTAACTTTGGTGGTATTGGCTTTCCACTTACTGGCTAATGTATCATAGGTATTCCAAATTCAAAGCCCTATAAATGTACCAAATGTAGGGATTTAGGTACTATAATGCGGAATTTCACGAATCATATTCGTTTGCACCTAAATAGGATCTACAAGCATAACACATAAAAAATCACATATACATACCTTTGACGGGTGATTTCCACAAGAGATGACTGTCAATTAGGGAGATAATAGAGCCCCAAGCGTTGCTCCTCTACTTAGTGCACGGGATAGGATTGAACCTCCACTACTGCTAGGTAGTTGAGCACGAACACTTCGAACCACTTTCTACTGAGAGGGGAGGAGGAAACCGACCACGAACACCACCACACCACCACCGTGCGCCACCTTGCACTAGGGGGGCTATACAGTTGTATGGACGGGAGGAAGGGAGTAATAGTTGCTCATATATATTTCGTGTAAATTTAATATATT